TTTATAAAAATCTGCGATATAAAGATAGCAAAGTGAGATTGAGGATTTGACTGAAGATATCCAGTTTAATTTTTCAAATTTCAATGTGAGTATAGAATGGAATGCGCTGTTCAAGGAGTTTTGGGGAGGAACTCTGACCTCATAGAGGAGGACCTTGATTAACAAGATTCCAAAGGAGATGACTCAGCATGCAAGCTGGCTGGTTTGCCACAGCTCCACAGATGTAAGGGTAGACCAGGAAACTCTGTAGACTGGAGCAAGACCATTTCCTATTCACAGCACAGCAAAAAGCAGTTGTTACTCATTCCTATTTTAATTAATTGACACTAGATGTTAATTGATAATATACATCAGTAAGATACTACAGTCAGTACTGGATTAAATACATGGATTTAATGTTATTCTTATTAAATAATCACTTTTAGGAAGGTCCAGCTTTTAAAATGCCAAAACAAGAATAGAGTCTAAAACAGCTAATGCAGTGGTCATCTGGGTCTGTAGCCTTAGAAAAGTCCTGCCTTACTCCCCACTACAGATCCTTTAATGGATTACTTGCCTCTGAAAATAATTTCCCTGTCCAGTTGTCTATTCAGCTACTTATGCACTTTGAAAAGAGACTTTATGTTTTCAGGGAACTAAATTGCTGCTTTTCCCCCCTCCCTGGATCCTGTTGACAAGAGAGTATATTTTTATCTTTCTGGGCTATTCTCTAAACTAAAAAGGTGTGGGAGAGTTAGTAACAATCATCCTAGGAATATCGTCTTTCATAGGGCAATGGCTAATTTAAAATGAACTCAGATTTTGATTTTTCATTAACTGTGTGATAGAAAGGACTTCAGAGGTGCATTATATTTAATTTAGAATTTTCTTTGAAATGGTTAGCGAGCTTAAAAAGCCCTTCGTATTTATCTAAGTTGTACTCCAAAAGTGCTGCCCTTGATAATATCATTTAAGATATAAGAGAGCTAGAAAACTCTTGTGCAGTGCCACTCTGAACAGGAGCTTGCCATAAGGCATTTTGGAGCCAAACTCAAAAAAGGTAGAAATCTCAACCTGTAGAAGTTGGGATGCAGAAAATGGTGTTTGTTTTTTTTTTGTTTGTTTTCAGAAAATGGTTTTTAAGAGATGATCATGATTTGTCTTCTGCTTTTGGGACATCCATACTTGATCCTTCTTTTTGTTGCTTTTGTTTTATATTTGCTTTGTTTCTTTAAAAGTTCTCAGAATTATACATACGGATTTTAGAAAAGATTATTTTTCTTCATTTGGATTAATTCTGCCTCTGTATTGTAGCTTTTACTAGCCCTTTGAAGGATGACAGAACACATTGGTTCTGAGAATGAATTGTCAGATGTCTTATAGAACATGTCTGTGGGAAAGGGTGTATGCATTTTTAAAGGAAGGAACATGTCTGAGAATTTCATAAAATCTAAATATTTTACATACACAAGAATATTGCAGAACAACGTCTTGGCTTTTTTTGTTTTTGGTTCTTGCGCTCCTATAAATGTCAAATCTTTCTGTGGCTTTGAGAAGACATAATCATTTCAGGATTACTTTCCTTTTTCAGCTTCTAAAAATCTACATTTAGGGGCGCCTGGGTGGCTCAGTGGGTTAAAGCCTCTGCCTTCGGCTCAGGTCATGATCCCAGGGTCCTGGGATCGAGCCCTGCATCGGGCTCTCTGCTCCGCAGGGAGCCTGCTTCCTCCTCTCTCTCTCTCTGCCTGCCTCTCTGCCTATTTGTGATCTCTGTCTGTCAAATAAATAAATAAAATCTTAAAAAAAAAATAAAAATCCACATTTAAAGTTCGACATTTACTATAATTACTGTGTATGGTCATAACCATTAACAGTATTTCACATAAGTAAATAAAAATAGGATAGACAAAAATACAGATGATCTGACACTGTTACTTAAATTATTTTCCTAAAGGACTAAACTTTTCCCCTGTTATCCTGGCACACTTGTTTTCAAGACTAACAATAGTGAGTGTTTTGTCCTTAATTTTCAGTAGAAAATCAAAAAGAAAAAACTGATCTGTAGGAGTTTTGGGGAGATAGAGTAACTTCTTTTTTTTAACATTGCAGTTGCTGTTCAATATTCATTAATTCTCTCAATTCATTTTGGCAAGAAGATATTTTGAAGTAAGCTGTTCAAACATGATTTATAGTTGATTAGTTGATCTCTTAATCCAAATTGTCATATTATCTTGTTCTAATTCTGGATATTGAAGAGTAAATGTTCATGGGATTTGAACTTCAGCTTACTTGAATGGTAACATTTTTAAGACAAACTTACAGTCATTTAAAACTTTTGGATCCTGAAATCTGTAGAATTTTAAGTGGGAAAATATTGTCTACTAAAGTGACCACTAGGGGGCATTTGGCCGGCTCTGTTGGAAGAGCATGCAACTCTTGAACTTGGGGTCATGAGTTCGCGCCCTTGTTGTATATCGAGATTACTTAAAACTTAAAAAAAAAAACCACTAGTTTTTGAATAAGCAGTATTATAACATCATTTTTTGATGAGTGACACTATAGATTCTGGTATCCAGAATAGTATAGACTTGAAGAAATTTGTGTTCATACATAATAGGAAAACAAACCGTCATTCTCCTATCCCCAGATACAAAAAGATTCATTCTTTTGGGTTCATTTTTTAATATTTATTTATTTATTTATTTATTTATTTATTTATTTTAAAAAATATTTTATTTATTTATTTGACAGAGATCACAAGTAGGCAGAGAGGCAGGCAGAGAGAGAGAGGAGGAAGCAGGCTCCCCGCGGAGCAGAGAGCCCGATGCGGGGCTCGATCCCAGGACCCCGGGACCATGACCCGAGCTGAAGGCAGAGGCTTTAATCCACTGAGCCACCCAGGCGCCCCTGGGTTCATTTTTTTAAAGCAAAGTGTGTGCATGCCCTTTTGCAAAGAAATAAATCTTTAAAAAAAATGATAGTGCCTTATTAAAATTTTCTTTATTGCAGGTGATTAGAGCACATGCATCTAATCTATAACTTATATAACATGTAATCTTTCAAAGAACATACTAATGTATGTAATCAGAATATAGGTACTATTCCTTAAAGAAGTTTTTACCATTGTTTAGTCTTCATGTACTTTTAAAGAAATTTCATCACCTGTTTCTTCCCAGTGTGGAGGTAAGCAGCGGAATGGTAATTAAAGCTTTGTAAGCCAAACCTATTTCTCTATCCCACAGATACCCAACTTAAAATTAATAAAGTCAGTCTTTTTTTTTTTTTTAAATATTTTATTTATTTATTTGACAGAGAGGGAACACAAGCAGGGGGAGTGGGAGAGGGCGAGGCAGGCTTCCTAAGGAGCAGGGAGCCCAATGCAGGGCTCAATCCCAGGGCCCTGGGATGATGACCTGAGCTGAAGGCTGATGCTTTAATGACTGAGTCACCCAGGCACCCCTAAAGTTAGTATTTTTAAAGTTTCTTGCTAGTTCAGCTAAGGCTAGGGGACAACTGAGCTATTTAGTCTCCAGATATTTTTGTTTAATAATATTACAGGAAAAAAAGTTTACAGGCATCCTCCATGTATGGCAAATTAATTAAGAGAGCATAAGCAAAATTAAATAATGAAGAAAAACTTCCGAATTCAGGGAAAACCAAAAGCTAAAGGTCCAAGAATTCCTTCATTTAGAACACAAGGTAGAATGAAGAATTATAACACTTGTCAAGCAAAAATAAAATATCAATATCCAGGTAAAGGAAAATTAAAATAGAATTTAATGATGGTTTTATAACAGGATTAGGTTTGAGTACATGTAACAGAGAAGCCCCAAATAATGGCGCCTTCTACAAGATGGAAGTTTATTTCTCTCAAATCAAAAATATCCAGAGTAGATAGTCTGAAACTGACAGTGGCTCTACAGTGTTCACAGGGACCCAGATAGGCTCTCTGCCATCCTTAGCATTGGCTTCTACGCCCAGGTTAGCCTTTGGCTGTCTGGGACTCTCAAGTCCAGTCATCACCTTGTACTCAAGACTCAGGAGCAAGGAATGGGGGTGGGGCAAGAGATAAAAGGACATTCTCATGGAGTCCTCTCCTATCAGAATCTGCCTGCATCTTGTTAGCTAGAACTCAATCACATGACCACATGAAACTGAGGGAACCTGGGATATGTTCATTAACTTGATTGTGGTGATTATTTCAAAATGTGTACTCACACCATCATACTGTACACCTTAGGTAAATACAATACAACTGTCAATTTTACCTCAGTAAAGCTGGAAGAACAAAGGGCTTACAGGCCCAGAAAACCCAATTGTAGAAAAATAGGACGAAACAGCTGAGCGTATAAATTGATGGTTGAAAAGAAATCTGAATTTTATTCTCAGCCTCAAAAGACTTATATTTTTAACTATGGAGCAGTGCTTAGTAAAAAACTTCTTTAAACCCAGGTGAAAAATGAGACTGTGTATGTAGTTACTTCATGGGTTCAGTTCATTCTTGTCCCTCCTTTTCAGTTTCTGATGCTGTGTTTGGGCCATATTGTTAACACTATGTCTTGGAATTTGTTGTATTTTATCATACTTGGAAAACACTGAATTGAAATGCAGAAGCCCAAGATCCTGGCAAAAGGCTACTGAATTACTCATTTGATTTTGTTGTCAAATGAAACCAGTAATTAGTTTACCATTTTTAAGAACATTAAGAGTTTCTTCACCTTAGTTCAAACCTACTCAAAACATGGATTAGCAAAAACATTGTTGGAATCTGTGATGCTCCTGACAGTGTAGGTCTGTGCATATTACGTAGAAATTAAGAATGATGGCGGTAAGAAACCTGGCTTGGTATGTACCTGCATCAGGTTGATAAGTACTTTGTTGTTTTGAAACTTACGGGAGGGGATTTATGTAAGGTCAGTCTGAAGAGTATTTCTCAGATACCATGTTCTGATTAATTGGTAATGATCTTTATATTTCCTTACAAACCCTGTGATCTAGCCATCCTTTTTTCTTTCTTGCAGGACAGAGGTCAGATCAAGGCAACCTCTCCAGGATGACCTTCCTTTCTTTGAGAAGCCGCCAAGCAGGCAGTTTTCCTTACCAAACCTGTCTCCAGAAGATCCTCAACAGAAGACAGCACTAGCAAATGAGGAAGCATTGCAGAAGATCTGTGCCCTTGAAAATGAACTTGCTGCTCTCAGAGCTCAGATTGCCAAAATTGTAACCCTGCAAGAACAGCAAAATCTCATTACAGGTCTGTAAATCATACATTTAACCAGTGAACTGGAAATTAGGAGAATGCCACTAATTTTAAAATGTATTAGCAAGTAATAGCCCTGGGGTTGTTAAAAAACCAAAGATCAGTCTTCTCCATGGTTTAGTCTAGGACCCAGTCAAGTTTAAGTGGTTTTTGTTGGTTTTGAGCAATTTTGATGCTATCAGAGAGAATGAATTTGGGAAAATACTGAAATTCATACAGTTGAATTGCTGCTATGTGAATGCACTTGGGAAACTTTTGTCTGTGATAATGGCACCAATTTTATCAGCCGTGGAGTAATCTCAAAAGAGCCCTGACAGGGTTGGGTGCTGTTACTTACCTGCATATTGTAAGACAAGTTCTAGGCCTTTCTCCCTCCCTCTTCTGCTCTAAAATGGGCCAATAGTACCTATATGGTGGAGTTGTGATAGTAAATGTGGAAATTATATACAGTGCCTTTAGCACATGGTAGCTACTTAATAATCATTTGTCTTCCTCTTGCCCAGAGTAGAAACTGAATTCAGGTCCTGTGACTCCTGGTTTAGTACTGTTTGCTTTTATTTGTGTGCATTGTTACTTTGGAGAAGAAACCATAGCCTTGAAATCCTAGCCCATTAACCTGTTGGCAAGTAGTAGTTGTTTTTCCTAGTGGTGTTCCTGAGGCCTGGCTAGACTCAGAATTAGCCAATTCTAAAGGTTAAAGGATAAGGACAGTTACTCTGCTTCCGAGCCACTTATGCTCCTAGAGTTTAATGTAATCCAACACGGAAACCTCATCCAGCCTGTGTACTGCCAAGATGGACAGAGAGCAGATGCACTCTGGGCACTGAGTGCTTAAGAAGTAATTGGTTACTTAAATGAAATTTGCATGTAACTTTTTGAAATCCAGAAGTCCTGCCTTTGCTTTTAACTTTTAAATTGCATTTCTCTTTTGCTTTACCTCCCTCTTCTGGCAGACTATGAAAACTGCTGTAGTGAGGCAGTTTGGAGATTTATGTTATTAAATGTTCTATTTACAGTCAAAAACCCTTGAGTAAAAATTTTGCATTGAGCTCCCCTAATCAATACAGTTCAACCAGTGAACAACTATGTCCTCTCGCTATGCAGAAAGGTGAATTTTTACATCCTTCTTTTGTTATCACTTTAACTCTTACCTTGGTTACTGTTTTGAGAAGTAACACTTTTTCTTCTTTCAGAAATTTGTTGACTAATAAGCCTTTAAATGCCCAGTAAGTCTTACATATATATATTCCTAAAATCACAAATTGACCAGTTTTTTCAGACACAGTACTGAACTGTCACACTACGTTGACGATGTTTCTGCGGCGCGCGCTGTTTGATACTTTATCTAAAAGCGGAGAGTGAGCGATAGCCAGGCTTGAACATTTGAGATCACAGAAACACCCCTGTTAAGTGGAACGTTTCCATCTGGAGAGTTTGGGATTAGATGCAGGTATTCAAGATTCTAACCAAGTAACTGAAACTTCCTTCACTCCCTTAACTGAGGTTTCTTTCAAGCGTATTGATCTCATGTATACAAAAGTCCTTAACATAATTTTGCTGTTAAAAGTGTTTTATTTTTTTTAAAGATTTTTTTTTAAGATTTTTTATTTATTTGACAGACAGAGATCACAAGTAGGCAGAGAGGCAGGCAGAGAGAGAGGAAGGGAAAGCAGGCTCCCCGCTGAGCAGAGAGCCTGACACCGGGCGATCCCAGGACCCTGGGATCATGACCTTAGCTGAAGGCAGAGGCTTGAACCCACTGAGCCACCCACGTGCCCCTGTTAAGAGTATTTTGCCTGTTACCATCAAGATTAAATTGATTTTTCCTTATTTCTGTAGGTGACTTAGATCCTGCCACATCTGTTACTACACCACCATCCTCTATTCCACCACCACCACCACCGCCGCCGCCCCCACCTCCCCCACCCCTTCCCCCATCAGGGCTCCACCAAAGTGTATCATCGGCTATTGACCTGATAAAAGAGCGAAGAGAGAAAAAAGCCTGTGCTGGGAAGACTTTGGTTAAGAGCAGTCCAAAGAAACCCGATATGCCAAATATGCTAGAGATCCTTAAAGATATGAACAGTGTAAAACTTCGGTCAGTAAAAAGGTGAGAATATGTTTACCTTCTCTCACACTTCTTTATTTTTGTTGTGTTTTGTAAAACAAAGTACTAGACTCCTTGAGAACTTTGTTGTTTTTTTTTTTTTTTTTTAAAGATTTTATTTATTTATTTGACAGAGAGAGAGCACAGGCAGAGAGGCAGGCAGAGAGAGAGGAGGAAGCAGGCTCCCCGCTGAGCAGAGAGCCCGACGCGGGGCTCGATCCCAGCACCCCGAGATCATGACCTGAGCCGAAGGCAGCGGCCTAACCCACTGAGCCACCCAGGCGCCCCGAGAACTTTGTTTTATAACATGATTACCATGAGCAGTTCTAGTTTTTAGTTTAAAAAAAAAATTCTTAGTTTTTATCTAAGAAATTAGCAGTCATTTCTAGGTTACACTTTGTCTTTCCCCCATTACATTTAAAGTTCTTTTATGTAAAGCCTTTGTTATTGTCCAGTCCTTCATTCAGTAAAGCTGTGTTGTATGCGCACTGTGGTGATCACTAGGCTTTGGGAGAATGGAACTGTAATTGCCCTGAAGGGAGAGCACACTGTGTGCTCTTGAATTGAATTGAGTAGCTATTCCTTGGGCATCTTTGTGTTCTTTTACTGAGCCTTAAATCTAGGGTTTCTGTCTCACTTCTCTCAGTGTTTGTCAGTAACTTCATTGGGGATCTGTGATGCTAGAGACGTGCCATCAAGCATGTGCAGGCACACAGTGGACTTCTTGGAAGGATGCCAGCATACTGAAATGTCCCCTTGGTTTCTGTTCACTCCTTAAGGTCAGAACAGGATATAAAGCCCAAAACGGTGGATGCTACTGACCCAGCTGCCCTCATAGCAGAGGCTCTGAAAAAGAAATTTGCTTATCGATATCGAAGCGATAGTCAAGGTGAAATTGAAAAAGGAATTCCCAAACCTGCATCAGACGCCACCTCAGAAACAGTGTTGGTGAGTATTGGGTCACCTCTTCCCTCGTACAACATGGCAGTTTACTCCATTACTGAGCCACCTGTATTTTGTGACATTGAGCTGTGGCCTTAGCAAAATTCAGAAGGATGTGCTATGGGATTTAGCCCCTACCCATGAGTAGATTTCTAGAAGAGCATAAAAAGGGAAGCAAAAGCCAACTCTTGGCTTCACTGCTTAGCATCTCCAGTGTTAAATTTTCCATGCTGTGCTTGATTTCTGTGTAAGCATAATGAAGCAAAATTCATTATACTAAAATTTATATCTTAGGACAGTATGTATGTTGTGGAGGAGAATTCAAAAAGTAAAGATCATTTTCCTTTAGGGGGCCTTGTGAAAGTAGTCTGATGTGGGTGAGATCAACGTGGACCTTCCTTGCAGAATGTTTCATGTCATAGGGGAGATTGAGCATATTTTATGGAAACTCAAATACTAATTTATACATTCCCTTTACTGTCATGTGGTATATGTGCTTATCCATTCTAGAAAAGCAGGTATCTTAGAAATTGTAGCATCTTTGAAACTCCTTTAGTCATTGAAAAAAGGAAACCTCATACTTCATTCTTTTACTCAGAGAAGTAAAATTGGACTAAAGCTTATGGTCTTGCTAAGATGGTTATAGTTTTCTAGGAAGTAATTTGCTTTCCTTGTTAATGTGTCATGTTCAGTTCATGGTTTTACTATTATCTAGCTGCTTGGTTTTTCATGCAGAACCTACCCAGACCTTTGATCCAGGATTAGGAGGGGAGGGTATCATTACTTTTACCTGAACCAATGTCTTTATTTATACTTTTTTTTCTTTCTTTTCCAGTTTGGGCCACACATGTTGAAGTCTACAGGAAAAATGAAGGCTTTAATTGAAAATGTTTCAACTTCCTAATAGTGAGCAGAGAAAAACTATCCTGTTGGTTTGTTAGGGCTGTTTGACAAGTAGAAATCAACACTATTTAGTAAATACCTGAATTTAGTATTCAGTGGTCTCCTTTAAGTCTAATTAGATTCAGCAATAACAAAAGCACTCTAAGTTTGTGGGTTTTTTTTTTTTTTGGGTGAGATTAGTTCTGAAGTTTTCCATAACATGTATTCAGACATGTGTTTTTAATGTATAGTCAGGATGTTCAGGTTTCTACTCTTGAGAACAATTATATAGATTTCAGAAGAAAGGACATTTGTAGATGTTGAGTTTTTAATTTTTAACACTAATTTATCTGTGCAGATATTTTAAATGCATATATTTGGATATAAAATAGTATGTAGGTTTTAATAATGATGTCAGTGAAGGTACTGTTACCATCATTAGTTGTCATTGGTCATTTACTACTCAATGATGGAACACGGGTTGTTGGAGTGAAATATTTTGGATTGGAACCTTTTTGCCTTGAACAGGACTTTTACTTTAGATTCTCTCATTTCCTTGGAGATGGGGTTCAAAGTAGGAACCAGATAATGTTCACTGCTGAAAATTCCATAATGCTTTCATTTAAAGGGAAGTCAGGGACTATGAAAGCTGCTTTCACTTTAGTGCTGTCCAGCACTGAAAAAGAAAATGTAGTTTTCCTATAGTGAGAAATCAGATTATTGAATTAAATCTATAACAGGTGAAAACCACAATGTACCATCTTTTTTTTTTTCCAGTTGAATAAATGGCATCATAAAGATAACTTGTTGCTAAGGTAATACATAATGGAAATGGCAATATAATGGAGTTTTAAGATTTTTAATATTGGTCAAATATAGTAGCTTTATAATGAAACCTTGAATAGGCAAAAGAATTTCATATAAGTTTATCATTGGTCAGAGTGCTGTTCTGTTGAATTTGAATGCAGCAAACCTTAGGTGCTATTAGAAAATGGAGAACAGCCTTTCTCATTGAGGGCTTCTGAGGAATTGCTATACCTGATCATTTGTGAATGCTTGATAATCTTTATGGTTTTCTGTATTTCTGTTAAACTCATAGTTAATGCCAGAATCTCTTACCATGAGTAAATAGTTGGATTTACTTAAATCTAGAAAAAGAAGTGAAGATAGGAAGAGGAGAATTTACTTTTAAGTTATTGAAAATACGTGCAATGTTCTCAATATTAGCAAATGTTACTCAGCTTAAATTTGAACTGTGACTTATTTTACATATGTTGTTGATTACATTGTTTCTGGTTTATAAATTCTGCCTTTAAAAAAATTCAGAAAATTTGACCTCCTAAGAATTTGTATCAGTATTGAATTTTGGCCACTTCTCCAATTGAAGGAAGTTACTGTTTTAAAATAAAGCAAACTTATGTTTTCCTTGGACCACAAGGCATATATCTTATTTTTTAATGGGTAAGATTCTCTTATATCGTACATGCAGATTCTTTAGAATTTACTTTCTGTATTCTGAAGGTGGAAATCCGTTGCCACTTACTCACCAGTCTCTTTCTCCCACTCAGCACAATGCCTTAAGTGAAAGATGATAAAAATAAACTTTCTGAGCCTCAGCTATAAAATGTAAAGTAACTAGTATGTTTTGTCTCCTATGATCTGACTAGTCCGAGATGCACTATATATACATACTGAATGGGAGTCAGAGAGCGCTGGACTTGGGAGTTCTACAAGTCATTGTGTTTTCAAAACAGGAATAATGCTCAGCTCAAACAGTCATTGAGGATTACATGAAATAAGTTTGAATGCATTCTATGAGTGGTAGATAGCTAAATAATTACTACTCACATGATTTTACGTGAGGGTGCTGTAGTTTCCAGTAGACTGATTTCTGCTCGGTGTCATCCTGGATACCGCTTGCACAGGCTTGCGGTGGAGCAGAAGTCATGGGCCGGTCTGTGCAAGAATCCTGTTTTCTTGATATATCTAGTTCCAGAGTCTGTGTCTCAGTGATGAAGAAGACAACGTGAGGTAACAACCACCAGAAACAAATACTTTGGAAAAACCATCCTTCTAACAACTCCAAAATTAGGGAGTTTTCTCTGAGGGATAGAATGAGGCAGAAGTAGACTTTTGGGAGGCAGTCCAGGATAGTGGTTTAGAGAGCTTAGAAAGCTGCTAAACTCAAATTTACATATAAAACAATTGTTCTTGAAGAACTAAGGGCTGACTGAATAGCTTCTGTACAATGGAAGAGAGAGGGACCACAGAGAGAAAGGTAGGTGAGAGGTAGTAATGACAGGAACCCCAACCCCAGTGCAGCAAATTACATAAGGAGGGATATCCTGGGTGAGCCGGTGTGCAGATTTGTCCACCTGGGGCACAGCAAAAAAACTGGTTTAAAGGGCAATTAGCCCATGAGTGAAGGAGAGCCATTTACTAACTACAGTTGTCAGAAGAATGGTGGAGAAACTGCTGGGCCTCAGGTGGAAAGCACTGCTAGTTACCATTGTTTATGTTCCCCTTCCATCTTGATAGTATAGACTGGAGCAGAGTCCAGGCACTCTAGCCAGCCTGCTGGGCCACCCCAGTGAGCCTCAGGCCCCCACTAGCTTGAGCCATTCCTCCCAAAGGTGGCCCTAGCATAGTGTGCATAGGATATCCCTGGCCTGTGCCTGCTTCCATTCCGGCTCACCATGCAAAGCTTTCAGGCAGCTGCATTCCTACACACGGCCACTCCTTCAGGATTGGGATGGGTAGCTGTTTTGCCTACTTTATAGAAGCAAAGAAAGGCAAACAAAAGAATAGGACAAAACCTGAGAAAAGGAACTAGACAAAATGGAGATAAGCATGTTACCTATGGGGGTGGCTGGGTGCATTTTAAAAAGACGCACGTATTTGCTGGCTGCCTATAAGAGACTTATTTCAGGGCACCTGGGTGGCTCAGTGGGTTAAAGCTTCTGCCTTCAGCTCAGGTCGTGATCCCAGGGTCCTGGGATCGAGCCCCGCACCGGACTCTCTGCTCAGCGGGGAGCCTGCCTCCTCCTCTCTCTCTGCCTGTCAAATACATAAAAAAAAAGACTTAGATCTAAAGACACATCTATTGGAAGTGACAGGATGAAGAAAGTTATTCCATGCAAACAAACAGAAGGCTAATGTTAACAATACACATATCATACAAAATAGACAAAGACTAGGGGACAAACATGTGGCTCAGTCTGTTTAAGTGTCCAACTCTTGATTTTGGCTCAGGTCATGATATTGGGGTCCTGAGGTGGGCTGCATCAGGCTCCATGCTCAGCAGAGTCAGTGTGTCCCTCTCTCTTTGCTCATCCCACACCCCCCTCACGCTTGTTTTTTTGCAAATAAAATCTTCAAAAAAAAAAAAAAAAAAAAAAAGACCAAGACTGTAACAAAAGACAAGGGCATTACATAATGATAAAGGGTTGATCCAAGAGGATCTAACACTTATAAATACCTATGCAGCCAACACAGGAGCATATAAATATAGAAAGCAAAATATTGAGACATAAACATAAAAGAGAGAAAGTGACAGTAATATTTTAATAGTAGGAGCCACTAAGACCCCCACTTACATCAATGGATAGATCATCCAGAGAAGCAAACACTGGCCTTAAATGACACATTAGACCAGATGGACTTGATACAAAACATTCCATTCCCCCAAACTGTAGAATACAGATTCTTTTCAATTATACACAGAACATTCTCTAAGAGGATCACGTAAAGCCACAAAAGTTTAAATAAATTCAATATCAGGCCTCTTTTTTTCTAACAGTTAAAACAGTATGAAACTAGAAATCATTTACATTAAAACTGGTAAAAACACAAAAATATGGAGACTAAAAAACATTATTAAACATTAAGTCAATGAAGAAATCAAAGAGAAAATTAAACACTTTAAGACAAATGAAAAATGAAACAACTTTACAAAAGCCATAGAATGCAACAAAAGGCAGTTCCGAGAGGGAAGTTCATGGCTAAAGAAAGTCTACCTCAAGAAACAAAAATCCCAAATAAGCTACCTAAGTTTGTATCTAGTTAGTAGAAGGAAGGAAATAATAAAGATTACAGAGGCCAGCACTGCCCTGATACTGAAAGACAAACCACATAAAAAGAAAACTACAGGTCACTATCCCCGATGCAAATAGATGCAAAAATCCTCAACAAAGTACTAGCAAACAGAATTTAGTATGTTAAAAGGGTCATACACCATGATCAAATGGGATTTATTCCAGGGATGCAAGGATGGTTTGACATCTGCAAATCAATGTGATATACCACATTAATAAAACAAGGATAAAAATTATGATTATCTCAACAGATGCAGGGAAAAGAAACACCACAAAATTTGATGGCCATTTGTGATAAAAACAAAGTGGGTGTAGAGGGAACGTACCTGAACATAATAAAGGCCGCGTATGACTGACTCACAGGGAACATTGTTCTCAGTGTTGAAAAGTTTAAAGCTTTTCCTCTAAGATCAAGATAGGGATACCCTCTCACCACTTTTATTCAATATAGTATTGGGAAGTCAAGCTGTAGCAATCAGGAAAAAAAAAAGACATCCAAATAGAAAAGTAGTAAAACACACTATTTGCAGTTGACATACTATGTATAAAAAACTCTAAAAGGGTCTACCAAAACACCATCATAACTATAAATGAATTCAGTTATGAAATTTTAGACAGGGGCACCTGGGTTGCTCAGTTGGTTAAGCATCCAACTTTTGATTTTGGCTCAGATCATGATCTCAGGTTTGGGACTGAGCCTCTCGTTGGGCTCCACGCTCAGCAGGGAGTCTGCTTGAGATTCTCCCTCTCTCACCTCTGAAATCTTTTTAAAAACAGTATACAGGGACGCCTGAGTGGCTCAGTTGGTTAAGCGGCTGCCTTTGGCTCAGGTCATGATCCCAGCATCCTGGGATCAAGTCCCACATCGGGCTCCTTGCTCAGCAGGAAGCCTGCTTCTCCCTCTGCCTCTGCCTG